AAAGTTAAGAATAAAAAATACGCAAATGATTAGCAAAAACACGAATATGTTCAGCCCCATCGACTTAGCAGAGATATCTAACTTAGTATATTACTTACATCTACACTTACAAACACCATAAGTATTGCATATGCACACATGAGATGCGCGATCAACAAGTGTACGTTCTATGGCTTAACTAAGATTATGTAAGATGAACGCTCTTACCGCACTTACAGCCACCCGACGATCAAAGCGGGCTTGCCGTTCGGGCCGGTTTCGACCGGCCGGTTCGGTTCGAACCGCCCGGTCCGGTTTCAGCCGGTCCGGTCCGGGCTCCGGTTCGGGCGGTTCGGTTGCAGGAGCCGCCGGTTCACGGTTACCAGTTCGGTTCGGACTCTTCTTGCAAACATATAACCACCTCCGACACACATATAAGTGTATATTTACTTATAATCTACATATACGCAACAACACGTGTTATACATTCAGTTATAACAGAACCCGGAAAAGTTAACACAACATATAAAACAGTTATAAAAGAGTTATAAAAAACTATAGAACAGTTATAACATAGTTAGATAGGTATACACCTAAAAAACACATAATTTGCGCGGGCACGACACGTGTGAGGGGCGTGCCATTCTGGGCCGCGCGACCCGCACGAAACGTGTGAGAGGTGTGCCGTGCTGGGCCACGCGACCGTGCATTTGCGCAGTGATCGCGTCGTGGCGCGGGCACGACGCGCGTGAGGGGGTGCCGATTTTTGCGAAGGCGGATCAGGCTCAGGCAGCTATCCAGAAGGCCGGAGGCCCTCTGAGCCTTCTGGGAATGCCGGCCCCCTCTGCCTGGCCCCCTTTCGCCGCCGATTCCCAGCAGCAGCCCTGCCCACGCGACGTGCCCCAGGAGCACGCGGGCCGACGACGAGGAAGAGAGGACACGACGGTGTCCGCGCAGAAGGGGAGGGAGGGAGGAAGGAAGGGAACGGGGGGAAGGGCAAAGCCCGCCTTCCCGGCGCCCCGCGAGCCAGCTGACACGCATGGGGGAGAGGGGCGGGGAAGCGCGCGACGCTCACGGGAGAGGCTCGGGAAGTGCACTGACCCCCGCTTTGTAGCGATAGATTTGCTCGCCAAACAGTGGGAGTCGAGGAAAGAAGCACAGCTTAAACATACGCAATCTTTCGGAGCTCCACGCGGAGTTCTTGGGTCAGCGTTCGGCCTCCCTGGCGGCGCCTCCGGCGCCGCCCCTGTCGCGCTCTCCGCGCGCTAGGGAGGTGGGGCCAGCGCAGATCCAACACATCCGCGCGAACCTCCAAAAGCTTACTGCCTATGCAGTTGCTGGTTCCCTCTTAATGAGCCCTCAAGCACTTGGAAACGTTCAAAAACGTCCGTTCTCTTTCCACGAATGCAGGGCCCACTGCGATCCGAGCGGTCCGATTCGATATCGGTTCTGGCGGGCATGATCCGATTCGATGTCCATTTCCTTTTGATCCGAAGTGGCCCAATGCTGGCATGGCGCTCTTGTGCATCTTGGCGCGGCCGATCGGATTCGAATTCGGCTCCGTGCTGATGCATCCCGATCCGTTGATTGTTCCAATTTGATCTTATTTGCCGATTCGATGGTGATTGAGCCTGCCGTCGTCTCCCTCATCCTCGTGACCTTCTGTCCTCGCTCTTCTGGCGGCGCCGCTCTCTCCATCTCTTTTCTCTGCTCGACTTGACGCAAAGACCTCTTGCGGGCATGCGGAAAAGGGGCGCGCGCGGTCGGGTCAGAGGAAGGAGGAGAAGGGAAGAGGAAGCGGATCAACGAAAGAGGCTGCCATTTTGACAAGACCGACAGAGGTTGCAATTCGGGGTACGTCAGAGGCCAACGGCGGGCATCGGAGCATTCCGCAGCGCAATAGCACCGATGTTGTTTGAGCGCTCTCGACCCCGATACGTTGTGCGTCACGCTCGCCTTCTGGGGCCTCACAATTTTGTTGCCTCGCCCCCACATTACCCTTGTCTTCCCGTGGGAGGAGGGGGAGGAGGAGGAGGAGGAAGGGGAACCAGCCTAAACCAAGACGCAACATCGATGCTACTATAAATATTCGCACCAAGTTCCGTGTTCATAGGTCCCCACACGATTTTGTGTTGTTTGCGGGAAGTGTTCCGTTGGAAGACAACCTTCTGATAATCTTCAGTTCTGCCGAAACACCGTTCTTTGGATGGTTCGCCGCGAATCAACGTGATTGCTGCGTCCTGACAACCCTTACACGTGCCAGAACACAATTCCTGGGACCTCAACGACTCGAACCAACGTGACTGTGGCGTCCCGACAACCCAGTTCCGTGCCAGGAAACCGTTCATGTCCATTTAACCATACGAACCCGTGAAACGGTTGCAAGCTCTTTCAGACGAATGCGTTCGGCGCGAAGGCAAGAGCCACCACCACCACCACCACTAAGCCAAGCATCCGGAAGGACGCGCGAGCAGGAGGGCGCGCGTTTGCCGACTCTTTCGGGCAATCCGTAAAACGAGACAAGAGAAAACAGAGCGCATCACGACTGTGAGGCAGAGAAATGGAGCGCCCGACTGTGAAGCACAGACGGGCAGCGAGGAGACGAGAGGAGACGAGAGGAGCAGGAGGCGGCGGAGGAGCGGACCCTCAGCCACTCTACGCAATCACTGTTGCTGGATCATTTTGTGCGCTTCTTGCGCCCATTGTTGTCGAGGTCGCCCACGCCGCTGGCGTTCCACCAAGGTCTTTTGGGTACCGTCTGGATGACATGCGATTTGCTTTACCAGAGGATTCGAATCCCTTGTCACAATCTTGTCGTACAGGTTGATCTGCCTATTAAGCAACATCTGGGAGAGAGGTTCTGCATGAGCCCGGTTCAGAACGTCCGCGTTGGTAACACGAGATATGTAAGAGTGTGGTATGCCTAGAAGCCTCCGCAGACACGGGCAATGAAAAGCATCACATTTGTTTCTGTCGGCGCTCAATAGCCAAATATAATCAAGCGAATCAAGTAAGTTACCCAACACGCAGCTCTCGTATACTCTGTACTTCTGTTTCCATCCAACAGATGTATGACTCCATATCTTCGCTAATTGCTTGAATTTACGCTGTGCTTCACCCAATCTGCTCGTCAACTCGGGGTTCGCTCTTGCATTACATGTAATCGAGCCTCCTAAGTGAACCGCTTCCTGGACTGTTGCAATTGGACCTCCGTCTGGGCGTTCGACAGTACAGTTTGTACACATGTGCATTTGTAGAGTTTTGCTCCAGTTGAGCTCGAGGCCACACTTGCGACCCTCAGAGACAATCGCGTTGAGCATGTGCTGCGCTTTCTGCTTGCTCCGTGAGATCAACACCGTGGCGTCTGCGTACAGCTCGTCGCGGGTCGCCACGTAGGCGGGCTCCGTTTCGAAATCGATGGAGGCCATGACGTCGAACAGAGGACACCCTTGTGCAATGCCTGCGTTCTGTCGTCTCTCCGTGGATTGAAAAGGAACCGCCTTCCAGGTTGAGAGCCACAGGTTGAAAAAGAACCGCCTTCCATCACTGAACCTGTAGCAAATTTTGCAGACGAAGGTGCGCGGCTCTAAGACCAGAGCCGCATGTTGAACACCACCCGCACTGCATCAGCAAAACCGTTGTACATTTTGACGAATGTGCGGGGCGCTATAGCCGCCAAGGTTAGAGCCGCATTTTCAAGCCACCCGCCTTCTATCCGTGAAGCTGTTGCAAACTGTTAAGACGAATGTGCGCGGCGCTCAGGCGAGAGCCAGATCTTGATAACGGCCCGACATCCATTTGCAGAATTGTTGTACACTCTGAGGACGAATGTGCGCGGCGCTAAGGTGAGAGCCACATTTTCAAAACGGCCCGCCTTCCATCCGTGAAATTGTTGCCTTTTTCAGTCTCCAGGATCCTAGATGGTAAGGAAATCTTAGGCGAAACGCCGGGTCCTCCCTACCGACACGTCTGAAGGCGCGACAGGGAGAATGTTTTTTGTCAAGAGCAAGGATTGGACGATGGAGGGGGATAAGGAGGAGCAGGAGGAGGAGGAGGAAACATTAGTCCACACATCCAGATGAATGCAAGCTTTTCGGGCGTCCGCACGGATATGTTGTGTCATCTTTTTTTCTGTTCCTCCAGGCAAAGCATGAATGGCGGGTGCCAATGGACGCATCTGATTGAATGTGGTGGCAGTGCCTTGAGGTGGAGGTACGGGTCACCTCCCCTACGGCCGTCTTCGTTGGCCGAGGGGCCGTAGGGGGGTCCTGTGCCCCCTCCGGTGCCTATTGACGGCAAATTGCCGCAGCCTCATTGATGGAAGCTGCGAGGGGTGTGAGGCCTAATGACGGTCCTCACCGACGAGGCCTATTGACGGTCCTCGCCGAGGGGAAGGGCGAGAGAAAGGGGGGTCGTCCCGAGTGACGATGCCGTCCGCGATGCCTCCCACTCCTGAGTGACGATGCCGTCCGCGATGCCTCCCACTCCTGTGGCGGGATTATTGCAAATGGGGTCCCAAAACCAGCATGCGCAGTTTCGACTCCGAGACTGGGTATCCTCCGCGCGATCCTGATCCCATGTTGTGGGATAGATGCTGACATAGGCAACCCCGCTGTGCTTTAACCAGAGAGAGCTGGACCACAGCAGCAGGACCCCAAATAGTGCAAGCGCGGCCGAACCGAAACCCCAGGAGAGCGCACCAACAGCGGGGCAGAAGCGCAATCTATCAACGCACCGCGCCATCGGGAGGAGAGGCCGGTGCGACGAAACGGCGAACGACGTGTGGGGACGTCACCCAGCCGGATTTCGGTAGCCTGGAGGAGGCCCCCGCAACCCTTCGGAGGCTTGGGGGAGGCCGGATGTGGTGTCGTTGATTTGGCTGGTCCTGAGTGACATGTCCGAGGCCCCCAGAGGACTACTGAGGTCACCCGTGAGGGTTCCCACGGCCTGCGTCCCCGCCGTTGGTAACGCAAGCGAGCTCAGGCCCTGAACTGCTTTTGCTTTGGCGTATCGTGCTTTTCATGCCATCGCAGGTTGCACGGTGACGGAGGTCGTGGCCGACGCGCGGAGTCGTGCGCGGCGCGGGCGAGCCGCCAGGTTCAGCACCTACCGTCTGCTATACCAGAAGTTGCATGCAGCTGAGTTGCCACTCGCGGGCCACGTGGTTGAAGCGCGGCTGGCCGTCCGTGGGCTGCAGTGGCAGCCAGTTAAACTTGCATTGTCTGGCATGCCGTCCACTGTCCCGGGCGAGCACCGCACCGCTTTTCATGCGTAGACATGTTGAATGGCGAAATGACGACGCATCGGATGGCCCCCGTGTCTGGTGTGATTCAAGCTCACTCCCGAAGGGTTGTGTGTTGCATCCCTTGCCCACCGCTGCCCTTTTATTTTGAACTAGGGCCCTTGGCCTTAGAGCTACGCCCCTCGCGAGGCCGCGAGCAAGAAGATCCATCGACAATCTTCCATATCACAGTGGTAGCACGGAGCGAGTCTCAGCTGCCCGGCGCCGCGCGCCATTCATATTTTGGCGTTGCGCGCCATCCTCTTGTGCAGCCACGACGAAGCCGTCGCGACCCACGGAATCGAAGCCCAGCGGTTTCCTGCTCGCGCTGCTGCTCGGCGCGTACATCAGCATCAGCGACGCTATCAATGCCTACTACTTTTCCGACAGCGTCAGCGACGCCGCCATCAAGTCCCACCCGGCCAATTCCTACGTCAGCGTCAGCGACGCCGACATCAACGCCTACTTCTCCGACAGCGTCAGCGACGCCGTCATCAACGCCTACTTTCCCGACGGCGCCAGCGACGCCGTCACCAACGCCTATTTCACGCGCGTCAGCGTTAGCGACGTCGACATAAACGCCTACTTCTCCCACGACAGCGTCAGCGACGCCGCCATCAACGACTACTTCGCCTAGTTGTCCCAGGCCGGCGTCAGCGACGCGAGCATCAACGCCTACTTCTCCCACGCTGGCGTCAGCGCCGCAAGCGGCGCCTTTTCCTCTTGCGTCAGCGTCAGCGACGCCAGCATCAACGTCTACTTCTCCAACGCCAGCGTAAGCGACGCCAGCGTCAACAGTTACTGCTCCGACAGCGGTGTCAGCGACGCCAGCAACTTCTGTTTCCTTCTCGACATAAAGACTAATAATCATGCGTACAACACCACCCCTACATGGAATGACGGCCCGGAGGAAGTGAGATAGCATATACAGGAGGTCAAGCTCTGGAAGCTCAGCGAGAACCTCGCCGTGGCCCACAGCCTCGCATCGAAGCTCGTGCTGAAGCTAAGTGGGACTGCCCGCGGCGCAGCATTGGATATGACTGAAGCGCAGCTGCACCCAGCAACCGCGGCGGACATCGAAGACCCCGACGGCAAGAAGCGCAATAGAAACCAGGTCGGCATCGAGAACGTCCTACAGCACCTGGAGACCAGTTTGGGTCAGCAAAGGTCTGTGCAGAAGAGCGATGCCCTCGAGAAGTTCTTCGAGTCGAGTCAACGTCGCCGACGAAGAGGCGAACGCATGACGGATTGGCTCATCCGACTCGATGCTGGACTACAGCAGCCACGCGAGAACGAGGTGGACCTCAACGCGTTGAACGACGTGGTGGGATGGTTCCTGCTGCGCAAGGCTGGGCCCGCGGCAGAGCGCCGAGAGCGCGTCGTGGGCAACCTGCCCGACGAGCACTACGGCAACCAGCGCGTCCGCGGGCTGCTGGTCAGGATGTTCCCGGATATGCGCACGTCGGAGCGCCGCGCCCCCCCGCCGCGGTCATGGACCAACCAGTCGCGCTCGCATGGCGGCTGGCGCAGCAGCGTTTCTTCTAGCCGCGGGGGGCGCTCTACCAATGTCGTCGCCGAGCCAGGCGACGTGAACGACGAAGAGCAAGAGGAGGACGACGAGGGCGAGATCGACGCCCAGGACATGGTTCGCCAGGAGGTCGAGGCCCTCAGCGCCGAGCTCGAGTCCTCCAACGCAGACGTCTCCGAGCTGTTCGACGGCGACGACTCTGCCAAGGTCGAAGCTGCCGCAGCTGAACTTGCCGCTATTCCCGAGGCCATGGCCACCATCAGATCGGCTCCGGAGGCCCTCAAGGGCCGCGGCAAGGGGAAGTCCGCGCCGAACCGCCGCCCGACCAAGCTACAGAGCCGGGTCGACCAGCGCAAGAGGAACACTTCTTGCTGGGACTGCGGCGAGCGGACACTGGGCAGGAGACAAGGAGCGCCCCGCGCCAGGTGCTCGCAAGTTCGCGCCCGAGGACGGCAAGTCACAGGGCGGTGGGCCGGGGGGTCGCGGAGGCCGTCCTCAGCGCCAGACGCGCATCGCCGAGCAGGTCCAGTTCGCGGAGGAGGAGATCGCCCTGCACTTGCAGGGGCCAGTCTTTCCGCCCCCAGAGACTTGCGTCTCGGAGCGGCTCATTCACCACCTGCCGAACGGGGGCGTCGCGATCGGCAGCGACAAGCCCGTGGACGAAGGCGTCGGCGGTGTCGACGCCGCCTGCCTCTTCTGCGTCTCGGGCAAGAAGAAGGGGTACGACAACTACAAGGACATCCTCGCGAGGATGGGAATTGCCGACCAGATCCTCGAGGAGCCGGAGGACGAGGTCTACCGGTTCGGCAACGGAGGTGCGCTCCCAAGCAAGCTGCGCGTGACCGCGCCGCTTGCGTTGTGCGGCCAGGCTGACAGCATCGTGTTCAACGTCTTGCACATCGGCCGCGACTCCATCCAGCCCTCCAAGATCGACGTTTCTCTCTGGAAGGGCCAGATCCGCATCGGGAACGCCGCTCAGAAGCTCACCACGAGCGCCGCGGACCACCCCGCAATCAAGTTGCAGCCAGAGGACTGGCAAGCTATCAGGGATGCCGGCTTGGAGCATCCGCCCAGCGCAGCCAGCTCGTCCGGAAGGCATCGACAGCTGGACAAGACCCTGTACGCAGAGGTCGAGAAGACGCTCGACCGACGGGATCGGAGGACGAGGACGGGCGACCGGCCCACGGTCAACAACACTACCAGGACCAGTGCGCTGATCGGGATCATCAACAACCTCGTCACGAAGAAGGAGCTGAACGTTCCGAGACGTCTCCAGACTCGGTGACCGAAGGGGTCGCGGCTACTTTCGGCCGTGACCTCAGCTCTGGTCTGCTGCTCTACCGCAGCTCCAGCTCCGAACCTCACGCTAGCGACGCTGCCGCAAACGATCTGCCCCACGACGTGCGTGACCCAGCCCCTGCAGGACTGCATCGCCTGTGGCGAGACGACCTTCGAGGCCTGCAGCCACCGAGGGCGCGCCCGCATGCCTGAGCCACGGCCAGGGCGCCATCGCCAACGGCTGCCTTGCACCCGGGGCCAACGTCGCGGAGGAGGAGCAGCTGCGCGTGAGGACGCTCAAGAAAGGGGCGAAGCCGCAGCTGATCGCTGGCAAGCGCTCAGTATTCGTCACCAGCAAGGGCGGCATCCAGCCGCACAAGATCGGCCAGGCCTTGATTACTAACCTGGCCAAGTCTACAACCAGATCCAGCCCGACCTCCGCGGCGAACAGCACCGTGCTCTACGAGTGGTGCTGCGACCCGGACAGCCAGCTCAGCGCCGTCTGGAGGAGGAAGGGGGGAGCTGCTGGCAGGTGCGGACTTCCAGGCCCCGACCTCTCCAAGCAGGTCGTGGTCCAGAAGCTGGAGGGCAGGGTCCGGAAGCACCTTGCGGCAGGCAAGAGTGTGCGAGTTCACGCTGCGTTTCCCTGCCAGCCGTGGATATCGCTACAACGGTTCGTCGTCAAGGCCAGCGCGAGCAAGATCCCCAAGTTGAAAAGGGATCGAGACAAGTCCAAGCAGATGATCGGCCTGTTCCTGCAGTCCACGTCGCGGCTGCGCGAGGAGTTCAGCGCCCAGCTCGCCGTCTCGTTCGAGTGGCCGAGGTACTGCGACGGATTGGGCCCCAACAAGAACGCCATTGCCAAGCAGCTGATGGAGCAGCTTCCGCGCGCCGTGGACTTCGACGGCTGCGCGTTCAACCTCAAGACGAAGAATGGGGTCCACATCAAGAAGCCGTGGCGGATCATCGCCGACCATTTCGGGTTCGACGACTCGCTCAGGCGTTTCTGCAGTGGGGGGCGCCCACGCGCAGAGGCCCGCGTGCAGGGCGCGAAGCGCAGCGAGAACTACACGACCAAGCTCGCGACGGTGCTAGCCGAGCAGTTGCGACGTCCGAACCGCCGACCTGCGCGAGAAGCTCACCCTGCATCGACGACGAGAAGGGCAAGAAGAAGGACGGTTCCAGCCGCCGCAGCCGCTCAGGTGCCATCGCTCGCGGCCGCGGAGGAGCGGACACTGCGGTCCGCCATCGTGCAGCTCCACGTGAACACTGGGCACCCGTCGAATGATTCGCTTGCCCGAGCCATTCGTGTAACTGGTGGATCGTAAAGATCCATCGATATGGCCCTCAACCTCTACTGCGAGGCTTATGCAGCACATCAGCGGACACTGCCACATCTACCGGACTGGATCAGACTGGACAAGGACTTCCACGACTCCATCAGAATGGACCTGTTCACCCTGGCCGACTATGCCTTGTAACCAGTTGGTCTACCTCGACGTGGTCGACTTGGCCTCGGGTTTTACGATGTGCGGCACTGTCGCATCAAGGCGCCCATCGGTTGTTTTCGCTCGACTACTGCAGATTTGGATTGCGCCTTTTTGCGCGCCCCAGCGAGTCATATTTGATGGGGGTGGCGACTTCGAGCGAGAGTTCTCCAAGGAGCTCGAGGGCATGGGTTGCCGCTTGATGGCGACATCTGCGGCGACGCCGCAGCGGAATGCTACCGTGGAAAGACATGGAGGGATGTGGAAGGCGCGCGCGAGTAAGCTGATCGACCAGTTCAGCATCGGCTTCGACCAGCCCGCGGCCGCTCACAAAATCCAGTGGATGATCGCCTCCGCGTGCTGGGCCATGAACAGCCAGGTCAACTCCACGGGCTACTCGCCGTCGCAGTGGGTGCTCGGGCGAGGCCTCGCCTCCCGTATGTCTTGCTGGACAGTGCCGGCAGGCTGTCCCTGCGCGAGCGCATCGTGCTCGACAAGCCGTTCTCGGAGAGGATCGCCATCGTGAAGGCCGCGCAGACCTCCATGCATCACCTGAGGTTCAACCAGTCCCTCTCGAGGGCGCTGCTGGCCCGATCTCGGGCAGAGGGAGCTCAGCGCGCCAGCGACGTCTACCAGACCGGCGATCAGGTGCACTACTGGAGGGGCAATGGCAAGCCCAAGAGAGAATGGGCCTTGCAGCGGCACGGGCCCGTCGTCACCATCGGGTTCGAGGGCGCGTCGAACGTCGAGATGAACGCGCTGAACGGCAACCGGCCGCCTGGACCTCCGCCAGGCGCCCCGCCAGGAACCTCCGGGACCGCACCTCCTCCAGGCCCTAGAGGGGGCGGCGGTGGCGCAGGGGGCGGACCCCCTCCGCCCGATGGAGGAGACCCTGCTGGACCGCCAGACGCCGCCGACGACGTCTTCCTTGATCTGACGGGACCGACGCCGAAGAAGCGCCCCCGCGGTGACGGTCAGCCTCCCGCACCACCAGCGCTACCAGCACCCGGCCAGCAGCCAGCCATCCAGCAGCACAACTCCGGCAACATCGAGCATTCCGAAGCGAGCCAGCGCGCTCATAAGCACGCTGAATGGTTGGCGCGCCGCCAAGGAGACGGCGATTTCACAACCTGTGGAGGAGCCAGCGGCAGTGGAGGACCGGCCCCGCCGCCGTCGGGAGGATATGCACAGCAGCCACCGCCAGCGGAGCCGCCGCCGCCACCAGCGGCTGTCGACCCGCCGGCGCCAGCCTCAGACTCAGGCGATGCTGCCGCTCCTGCAGCCACTTCCGCCGCTGCTGCCGCAGATTTTCGACCTCGAACCTGCCCCTCAGGGCCTGGTCGACGATGACATCGAGTCCGATGGCTCGGACATGATTCGAGAGTGGGCGATGATTGCGGAGGAGCAGGCGCGCAGGGAGACGATGTCGCGGCGCCCACCGGCCGGACACCGAGAACCAGCGCGGCACCAAGGCGCAGCGCCAAGTTCGACAGAAGAACGCACCAGTGGCACTGCATCGCGACCGCCAGCCCGAGCTCGAACCCCGAGAGCGCGCTGCCAAGCGCAAGGATCTCTTGGACGATCTGCCCAAGTGCTTCATGCGGCCGAAGGACACGAACAAGGTCGATCTCTACCTAGACAACTACTTCCAGAAGCACGCGGACGAGCTCTACGCATGTACACGACGCCGCGAGGCACTTCTCACGGGCAACGCGACCGCCAAGGAGCTCAAGCACGACGCGCTGAGTGCCACAGAAGAAACACATGGATGCCGCCATGAAGACCAAGTGGTCCAAGTGGACAGAGTTCGGCGCCTACAAGAAGCTCCAGCCCAAGGAGCTGAAGGAGCACCTACGGCGCAACCCTGGCAGCCGCCCGGTGGGCACGCGCTGGGTGCTGACCAGCAAGGGCCAGAACATCATGAAGGCACGCCTGGTCGCGCAGGGTTGCCAGGAGGACAAGTCGCAGATCAGGACGGACGCGCCTACAGGGTCTAGGGGCGCGCCGTGCCTGACCCTGGCCGCCGCGGCCCGGAAGGATTGGGGCATCTCGTCCTGCGACGCGATGACGGCCTACCTGCAGTCGGGTAACATTTGAGAGGCTACTGCTCCTGCGCACGCCGGCCAAGAACCCGCCGCCGGGGGCCCGGCCCGGCGAGATCGCGATGGCCACAGGCGCGATTTACGAGACGCGCGACGCCGGGAGGCAGTGGCATTTTTATGCGCAGAAAGTCTTCGCCGAGCATGGCCTCGTAGAGAGCAGGCGCGAGAAGGGCCTCTACTACTTCCACGACGAAGGTGGGCTCGCCGCGGTGGCCCACTCACATGTGGATGACTTCCTTATCGCCCAGCGCAACAACTCCACCAAGTGGATGGCGACTATCACATCGCTGGGGAAGAAGCTACACCTCAAGCCAGTCGAAGGGGCCATCAAGTACTGCGGACGTACGATTACCAAGCTCGACGACGAGTTCTGCGTGACCCAGGCCACCGCTGCCGCACAGGTGGGCTACGTCGACTTGAAGGCCCAGAAGGGCCGAGGAGCTGAGGGCCGACTCACCGCCACCGAGGTGGCGAGCTATCGCCACACGCTCGGGCAGCTGTTGTGGCTAGCAGTGCAGACCCGGGTGGACATCGCCTGCCCGGTGAGCTTTGCAGCTCGACGCACCGACGTCGCTACCGTGGCCGACGCGAAGACGCTCAACAAGACAGTCGCATATGTGCACTCCACCGCGAACTTCGCGATCGTCGTCGACCTGACGACGGCGATCACCGCGTGCTTCAGCGACGCCGCGTTCGCCAACGTGGGTGGCGTGAAGAGCCAGTGGGGCATGGTGATGGGGCTCACCCATCGCCCGCGTGACGTCGTCGGCGGCCGGTGCGACCTGCGCCTGCCCGTCGCCTGGCACCCTGGCACAGTCGAGAGGCCGGCGAAGTCGACCCTCGCTGCCGAGGGCTACGCTACCCTCGAGGGGTCGGAGACCAACGTGTGGTTCCGACAGCTGCTGACCGAGGCCTACAACCTCAAGACGGCGCTCAAGCAGATCGTCGTGCTCGCCGACAAGCGCCCTGGGGAGATCTAGAGCGACAGCAAGGGTCTCGTGACGCACATCGCTTCAGATGTGGGCCAGTCTGCTGACAAGCGGTTCCGCATCGTCGCCCCCCTGATCAAGGAGGCCGTGCACCCCAACAGCGCGCGCAAGGTCAGCTGGATCCCTACCTGGGCCATTGTCGCGGACGCCTTGACGAAGACGATGGAGGCTGGCGTCCTGCTGTCTTTCTTCGGGGCTCGCAAACATACCTATGGGGCCCGGCAGCCACGCGCTGCTATGCTCGCATCAGTCCTATTCACCTGCCTTGGAAAGGTCAAGGGGCAGCCTACGCCCACGCCGACGATGCCGGACTACAGCTTCTATATTGGCCTGTTGACGTTCTCGCTAGTCCTCTGCATGACTGTCGGTTTCGGCATCTTCATGACGCTCTGGGCGATCCTGAGGCAGACAACGCGATCACCAACGAAAAGAGCGCCGCCGAGGCGAAGGCTATGGTTGAGCACCCTGGATGGGACGGCCGCGTGCTCGGCCGACGCAGCAACATACCACCCACGATTCCAGAGGATCGTGACCACGATGGGGACATCACGATGCCCCGCGCGGACGTATTCAGCAGCGCGCAGGCATCAAGGTCAGTAGCAGCGGCTGCGATTCAGCAGCTGCCGCCACAGGTGCCGACATAACCACCGCCAGCCAGCGCACCGCCATCACCGTGCACTGCAGCATCAACGCGGGGATCTGGACGATCAAGATCAGTCAAGTCGCAGGGAAGTTCGGCCCCTGCATCACCAACCGTGGCTTCCGTCACGAGATCATCGAGGTCCGTTTCAGCCTCAGCATCCAGTGTTGTGTCGTGGAGCGGATCTTCCCCGACGGTGCAACGGAGTGACAGGATCAGTTGCGTGACTGGCACTCTTCATCATGATGTGGTCATCTGCCACAACCCGCATAGTGGATACATCACTTGAAAGACCTGCAAGAAGCACGCATCGTGGCTGCTTCGGCATTATCATTTTGGAAATTCCGATTTCACGATCTTCCCGGAGAGCGTGATGAATGACCTCAAGGGCATTTGGTGGAAGCTCACAAGCAGAGATGCTTGGCGGGGATCAGATCTAGCCGATTAACCGGCGAAGCCGAAGAAAAGGTGACCCTCGTTTGGTTTGACGGCACTTTGGCCGATCAGACCGGAAATGTTCTATTGCCTATACTATACGCCCAGTCAAGATTTATGTATTCCGCATCGTTGCCTATATTATACGCCCAGTCAAGATTCATGTATTCCGAATCGCAGCTTTTACACCCAGATAAAGACCCACACGTAACACCACATTTTTTTGGAATGTTCATTCGTTTCAGTGCGCACCGTTTTTTGTTTTGATGACGATCGCACCTAGTATATTGAGAAGAGTGGTATATTCCTTTTGGGTTTTGTCGCATCGCGATCGAACCCTGGCCATTGCTTGGTATACCTTGTATGCTATCTTATACAATGCAGGCCGATTGCTGGCTTATCTCCGTGGTTTATGCCGGCGAGTGACTTGTTTGCTATAGCCCTCGCTCATGCCTGTCAGAGGCCACGACCAGCCGAGACGGCGACTAGAAGGGTTTGTTATTGCTTCCGTTGCCCACCGTTGCCGTTTTATTTCGAGATGTGGCCCTTGGCCTTAGAATTACGCCCTTCGCGAGGGCGCGAGTAAGAAGATCCATCGACAATCTTCCATATCACATCTGGCAGGGCCGCGTCGCCATGCCCAGTTTGTCAGTCACCCGCTAGTGATCAGTTGTTCCCCACGACTCGTGCGTTGTTGTGCGTTCACTAACGCGTCTCGGGGGCAAGCGACCAATATTCTAGGATCTGAAAACACACAAGGACATTCCGAGACCATTTTGGAGGCCATCTTGGGCCAACGTGGCCATTTTGGACGCCATCCTGAGCCGTAGTGGAGGATTTGTTCGGGACTTTGGGGTCCTGGAAGAGCCTCCCGGGACCCCGGCGGGACGGGCCGAAACGCCAGGGGGAGTTGTTTTAGTTCTTCTGGAAAAAGAACCAAAACCAAAACCGAAAGTGTCGAGCACGCCGAGCACCCCTGTGATGAATCGACAGGGGGCGGCGGATCTAGTGGCCTTCGGCCCATCCCGCCACCGCGGCTGGTTTTTCGGTGAGAACCTCCTGGGAGGCCTTTCGGAAGCCTCTTGGAGGCCCGTTGAGACATTATTAGGGGGCTTCTTGGGGGCCTGCTGGCTATTCCCGAGCATCATCTTCAGACGGATAGCTCGAAGTTTCTGTGCGATTTCTCTCTCTCTTGGGGCCCTTTGGGGCCGTCTTGGGGCTTCAGTCGGGCCTGTTGCACCTTTTTGGGGCGATCCTGGGGGCCGTTTCTGCCGTCTTGAAGCGTCAGGAGCCCGGAATGGCGAGAATTATGAAATCGTTAGTTTGTTTTTGCCGGTGCATTTATACACTTACATTTACATCTAGACACATATATATACATATATATATAATATAGATAATATATGATATATAAATACTAATAATCACATGTATATATATATATATTCTATTTTATAGATCATATATTTATATGTATATATATATATATATATATATATATATATATATATATATATATATGTATGTATGTATGTATGTGTATATATATATATATATACACGGTCACGTGCGGTAATCTCCGCCATCGTGTTTGCGCAGCGGCGCAGCAGGACGGATGCTGAGTCTAGGAACAGCGCAACTTCGACGAGTAGCCTGCATTTTGGGCGTGTCGTGATCCCGACCTCGTATTCGTCCACGCGGTAGGGAGGAGAGGGAGGACATGGGTTTGAGGGGGAGAAGGCGCAGAGCTTTGTTGGGGCCTCTTTCGACATTCCTGGGAGCGTTTTGGGGGGGCATGGGGGCCTCATGGAGCCTCTTTGGCCCTCTGCGGTCGTCTTAGGGGATTCCTGGCCCGTCCGAAGCGTATGGAGGCCGCCGTGGGGGCCTGTCTAGGCCGCGCTGGTGCTCTCCTGGGGCGGTTCACGGCCGTCTTGGGGCCTTTTTGAGAGCCTTTCGGTCGTTGTCCGTCTTGGTCGGCCTGGAACCCGAACAGGTGAGAACTTCCAAACTCTCCTTGAGGGTCTCTTGCAGGCCTCTTCGGCCGTATTGGGAGCTTCTTGATCTGTCTTGAGGCTATTTTGGGAGCCTTTTGAGTCGTCTTGGGCCATCTTGGCCTCATCTTGGCTGCCTTGAAAGCCGCCCTGGATGCCGTGAGGCTCCCAGTAACGCCTTAAGACAGATCGAGGGCCCCCCAAGACGGCCGGAGAGGCCTCCAGGAGAGTTCGATGAGGCCAACACCATTGATTGTTCTTAGGTTTTTGAAGGAATGAGAGGTTCTGGCACGTTTGGGTTCCCGATCGCACAAAACAGCCCAAGAGGCCTCTCTGGACCGTCATACCGTTCGACTCCTCTCGTACCCACTTCCTCTTCATTCGCCTCCTCATCCTTCTCCCCGTCCTCCTCGTTCTCATCCTCCTCATCCTCCTCCCCATTCTCCACATTATTCCTCAGTATATTTTTCCTCATTTGCCTCATCCTCATTCCCATACATATTCATCATTATCTGTTTCTTCATTCTCTTCATTCGCCTCCTCATTCTCCGTGTCCTCCCCATTCTCTTGGTTCCTCTCATCATCCTCCCCGTCCTCCTCCCCTCCTGCATTATCATAGTTCTTCTCTTCGTATATGTATCTTCGCTGCTTCTTCTTCTTCTTTGTTTCTATCTCTCTCTCTCTTCCCTCTCTCTGTCACATTCGGAATCCTTTGGAAAGCACCACAAAGGGATTCCATTTGAAAGCCACACAACAGGAACCCGTTAAGAAACACGAAGAAGTTCCATTGGAAAGCCTCTCACCAGGATTCTTTTGGAGAGCACCGCGGAGGGATTCTAGTGGAAAGCCTCACAAGCGGAACCCTTTGGAAAGCACCACGGAGCGATTCTAGCGGAAAGCCTCTCAACAGGATTTTTTTGGAAAGCACCACAGAGGGATTCTATGGAAAAGCCTCACAACAGGATCCCTCTGGAAAACTCCACAAAGGGATTCTTTGGGAAAACCTCTCAATCGGAATCTTATGGAAAGCGCCACGGGGGGATGCTATGGTGAAGCCTCTCAACAGGATGCATTTGGAAAGCACCCCAAAGGGATTCGATTGGAACGCCTCACAACAAGGACCTTTTGGAAAGCATCACAGAGGGAGCCGATTGGAGAGCCTCACAACAGGAACACTTCGGAAAATGCTACAAACGTTTCCGATTGGAAAGTGGTACGAAGGGAATCCTTTGGACAATTCCACAACGGGCTTCCATTTGAAAGCCTCACAAACGGAAACGCTCTGGAAAGCGCAACAAGGGGATTACATTTAAACGCCTCACAGCAGGATCCCATTGGCAAGCACCGCAAAGGAGTTCCATCTGAAAGCCTTTCAACAGGTTTCCTTTGGAAAGCGCCACAGAGAGATTCGATGGGAAAGCCTCAGAATCGGAACCCTTTGGAAAGCACCACAGAGGGATTTTAGTCGAATGCTTCACAATTGGAATCCTTTGGGAAAACACCACGGAGGGATTAGATTGGAAAGCCGCACAGCAGGATCCCTTTGGAAAGCACCACACTGGACTTCCATTGGAAAGCCTCGCAACAGGAATCCGTTTGCAAGCACCACAGAAAGATTCGATTGTAACGCCTCTCGACAGGATCCTTTTGAACAGCACCCCAAAGAGATTCGATTGGAAAGCCTCACAGTCGGATTCTTTTGGAAAGCACCACATAAGGATTCGATGCAAACCTCACAGCAGGATCCCTTTGGAAAACACTGCAAAGGAATTCCACTGGAACGCCTCACAATCGGATTTTTTTGGGAAGCACCACATAGGGATTTTATTGTAAAGCATCTCAACCGGGTTCGTTTGGAAAGCGCCACAGAGGGATTCTGGTGGGAAAGCCTCGCGTCCGGAATCTATCAAAAAGCAACACGGAAGGATTCGATGGAAAAGCCTCACAATCGGAATCCGTTGGGGAACGCCTCAAAAGGTGTTCGATTGGAAGGCCTCACAACAGAAACGCCTTGGAAAGGTCTACGCATGGATTCTAGTGGAAAGCCGCACAGCAGGAATCCTTCGCGGGAGTCTCATGAGAATTCTCACAGCAGGACCTCTCTCTCTCTCTCTTTCTCTTTCCAAAACCATGTGTTTCCAGAGGTTCCAGGTATTCCAAATATGTCCAGATACCAGCGACTACCCAGGTGGAAAATCTTGTGCTTTCTAGAGGTTCCACAGATTCCCAGAGACGACCCAGGTGAAACACTTTGTGTGTTTCCGGGGATTCCAGAGATTCCCAGAGACTACCCACTCCCTGGAATCTCTGGAATCTTTGGACAACACCAGGTTTTTCACCTGGGTAGTCTCTGGGAATCTTTGGAATCTTTGGACACACGAGGTTTCACGTGGGTTGTCTCTGGGAATCTCTGGAATCTTTGGAACCTCTTGAAAACATAAAGACATGTTCACTGGGGTAGTCTCTGGGTCTCTCTGGAATCTCTGGTATCTCTGAAAACACGGTTTTTCACTTGGGTAGTCTCTGGGAATTATTGGAACCCCTGGAAAACACAATGTCTTTCACCAGGGTAGTCCCTGGGTCTCTCTGGAATCTCTGGGAAACACAAGGTGCTTCACTTGGGTAGTTTCTGGGAACCTCTAGAACACATAAGGGGTTCCACTTGGGTAGTACCTGGGACTCTGGAATAGCTGGAATCTCTGGAAAACACCAGGTGTTTCACCTGGGTCGTACCTGGGAATATCTGGACTACTTGGAATTTCTGGAAAACACATGGTTTCGGAAAGAGAGAGAGAGAGAGAGAGAGAGGGAGGAATAGAGAAAGAGAGAGAGAACGGAACATAATCAGTCGAGGATGAGGAGGGGGAAAAAAAGGTACAATGACAGGGGGCGACCAACTTTTACATACATATATATATACGATTTATCTACCCGAAAGGGGGGGGCGGATAACGCCAGGGGGGTAGAATATAGTATGTTTCTGAGAAGGCGAATCTATGTGGCGACGACGAGGTGGCCCGCGGCCCAACTCTGGAGCCGCTTCTGCGTCGGAGACGTAACGGATCTTGTTTGCAAAAGTGACAAGTTGTGATTTTCTGGGCCCTCCCGTGGACCCACCCGAGCCTGCGGGTCCAGAGTGTGACGGGTTCGAGTCCTCGCCCCGCGCCGCGGGGCTTACACGTGGTGGCTTACACGCGCGGGGCTACGGGCGCTACGAAGAGCACGACGTGGCTTACAGTTGGTTCCGGACACTCGAAATGTGGCCTGGGAGTGGGGGCTTGGAACACGCTCTGTGCCCTGGCAGTGGTGTTCTGGCAAGATATGTCATGTTTCTGGACAAGAGTTACACGCTCTTTTAAATTGAGTTTGTTCTTCCCAGCGCAATGAAAACCACGAAATGTGATAGTGTCGCAGAGTTCTGCAGTTACGATCGCGATCTCTGGCACCATACCTTTTTTAAATAACAGCATGCTGATCGTAACCTTCAATAGCGTTAAACAGTTCATTCAATGCTAGCTTCGCGTAACCCCACCAGCGCGCGCGTTCTCCCTACCAGATCTGCGACCGTTTGTCACCTTCGCGATTTCTCCGCTCCCCCAGGCCCCGCGCGCGACGCCGCAGGGAACCCCCCCAGGCCCACGGCGCTGGTCTGGTGGCATCTCCTTCCGTGGGGGTCTCTCCCCTGCCGTCCAGGCCGTCCGCGCATCGCGTCCCGCTTGCCGCCTGCCTCCCCACCCCGCGCGGGGTCGACGGACACCTGGTCCCCCCCCGCCGCCGCTAATCCAATCAAGTCTGAACTGTGCCTCCTACCACCTGGGCGGCGCGTGCCGCTCGCACCCGCCCTTTCGGCTCTTCCCCTCCCGTCGCTTGTCCTTCTACGTCCCTCTGGCCGTTCCCTCCCGCCATTTGCAGCGAGGTCTGGTCGCGCCCGCCCACGCGCCCCCCCCCATATACCTTCGGTGTCTGGCGATCCGGACCGTTTCCGTTGAGCGCCCGCATGCCCAGTCTTTCCTCTGTGACAGTGGTTTGCTGTCATACGTTCCGCATCCCCCGTCCTGTCCTGGGCTGGCTGTACGTCTTGCCGGCGGCCTTCCTCGTCAGGGACGTGATTGGCTATCCGAGTTACCACCTGGTGCTGCACGTCGCCCAGATGGACTTCCTGGCGCGCGTTCTCCACAGCGGCAGCGAGGCTCGCTTCCTGCTAGCCTCTTCCCATGCTTGGTCTTGTCCTCTTTTCGCCCTTCCTTTTCCTTCGCGTTCATTCTGGCCGTTGCTAGTCTGCGCCGCCCCTTGACGCCGCCCGGTCTTCTCTTCGCCGCGGTCGCGATCAAAAAAGTAGCCCCACCCGCCCATCCAGAGACGATGCCCAGAGGATATGCTTCGACCAGGGAAGTGGGCAGCGCGCAGACAAAGGGCCCCCCCCCCAGTGGCGGATTCTTGTAGCGTCTTGGTGGCCTCTTGGTGGTTCCGGGCTCTTCTTACAGCGTCTTGGGTGCTTCGCAGAGCTTCTAGGGGCCTCTTGGGGGTCTCTTGGGAGCCTCTTGGAGGCCTCTTGGGCGCCTGTTGGGGCCTGTTGGGGCCTCCTGGGCGCCTCTTGGGGCCCCGTTGAAGCGCTCTTGGGAGCCTTGGGAGCCCCCTTGGAGCCCTCTTGGGCCATCTTGGAACCATGTTGGGGCCTAGGATGGTCATCGGAAGCGAAAAAGGCGAGAAATACAAAAACACAAATTTTCGCAAGGTCTGGATGTTTGCCTCTTCGGGGCCTCCAGGGGGAGCTCTCTGGCCACTTGGGGCCGTTTCGGAGCGGTCGTGGGGCCTCTTGGAGCATCGTGGGAACCATTTCGAGGCATCTTGGTATATAGTGAGCCATCTTGGAGGTCATTTTGGGCTCTCCCACGCGCTCTTGGAGTCATCTTAATCAGTGCCCCCCCCAGGAGGACTTATGATTCTCCGGCTACAAGAAGATAAAGCGATCTTGTTGCGGAGTGCCCCACCAGGACCGCGCCGTGGATTCAGCTCTCGGGAAGGCAATGAGCTTGTCGCGCCGCCGGACCCCGAAGTTCGGCGCGCGTTTCTGCGTCGACCATTCCAGAGCGACCCATGCGCAGGCCGACGGCCAGACCGATATATTTACCGTGGTTGAGCACAAGGCTCTGGAGACAGTGGCGGGCGAGGCACCAGACGAAATTATTTTCAGGGTGCGGGAGGCTGGGGGCGGCGACGAGGGGATTTGGGTGCCCGGGTCCGGGGTGGACCCCCCCGACTGCGATCCGTACTTTGCGGAGAATTGCCTCGACGCGCAGCGGGGGATCAGGCGGGCGCAGGCAGACTCCCGCGCAACCGCGTCCGCTGTCATGGCTGAAGCTGCGTCGTTCTGGCATCTCTTGGCGCCGAAGGGGCGAGAGGACACTCTGGCGCTCCATTCTTCTTCGGGGTATTTGGCGGCAAGCTCGTGCGAAACGCGCAAAGAAGGGGGGAAAGAGAGAATCTTGTCAGCGCAGACTGCTGGCGTCATGCGCGCATGCGCCAGCCCCGGCATCATCGCGTCACTGCGCGAGCTGGTTGGCTCGGAATCTTCGTCGCAGCGATATTTTTCGTGAGTGCATTAGAGTCACTATACCTGGAGCTGGAGTTCATCGACATGACGATGCATGCCATCTGCATAGATTCAGCGCGGCGCGCGAGCCCCACTCGGCCCACGCAGCCGCGATCGCCCCGCCTTGCTTGAAGTGTTGCGCCGCGGCTCCGCAGCCCTTGCACTGCGGCGCCTTGCACTGCGCCGCGAAGTCGCCGTGTTCGAGCGAGAGTTCCTCTCCGCCGGCTGCGTCCAGCTCTTGCGGGGGCCCCTGGTCTTGGTTCTGGCCGGCTGCAAAGCAGGCGCCCGTCCGGGCGGCAGCTTGGGGCCCAATCTGTGCGTCAAGGCCACCAGCCGAAGCTTCCATGGGCGAGTCGCTCTGCGTGGCCAGGAAAGCGAGGGCAACCTGACCCGGGGGTGGGCCGCTTGCTGCCGCTGCGGCCCTCCAGGACGACTGTAAATCGTTTTCTTGCGGGGCCCGCCAAGGTTGTGTTTGAACTCGAAGGCCGCCGCTGTCCACAGACTGGCGCGCATAGTTACTGGGCCTGTCTGCCATCCAAATCTTTAGGGTTACATCCTGCTGAACCTCCACCGGGGAGCCCACCTCCTGCTCCGTGGACTTGGTCCGCTTGGCAGGAGGCCCTTCCATGCCGTTTCCAGGTGCCGTGGGTAGTGTAGGCGGGGGGGCGGGGGGGCCTGGCTATTGGCGGGCCCCCTGGAACCAACAGCTGCAGAATATTAGAGGGAAGGAGGGGAAAAGGGGAAAGAAAAAGGGGGGGAATGAGCCAACACTCCGTCGAAAACTTGCCCCTCGCCCCCCTGCGGTTCAGAGGGACCCATGGGACGAGGGCCGGTGGCCCTATGAGAGCGGTCAGGATGAGCGGCAAGGGACGGTGTGCTGAGTCGACCCCAGGCCCTATCGACCACGCTCAGGCCCGTCCTCTCGGGGCCGTCCGATCCCCCTCCAGGCCCATTCCTTCGAATAGCAGGTCCCAACCGTGATGACTCGGCTCCGGCTTCTGACACCAAACAGAACCGCTCAGGAATAACGCTCAACCTCGATCGCCCTCCTGCCGCGGTTTTTGAAGGAATGTGAGGTTCTGGCAGCACGCTTGGGTTCCCGATCGCACAAAACTGCCCGAGAGGCCTCTCTGGACCGTCATGTTGCTCTCGTGGAGCGCTTCAAGACCGTCTTGGGCCCTCGTTGGGAGCGAGCTTTGGGTCCTCGTGGGCCGACTTGGGGCAGTCTTGGCGGCGTCTCTGGCTGTTTTGAGGCTATCTTGGAGGCATCTTGGAAGCCTCTTGGGCCGTCGTGGGTGGTCGGAAACCCGAACAGGCGAGAACATCGAAGTCCTTCAAAAACCTATGGAAAATCAATGGTTTGGGCCCCAATAGGGCTCTCGAGGAAGGCTTCGTGGAGCTCTCTTGGGCTGGGCCGTCTTAGGATCTTCTTGGGCTGTCTGGAGCCGCCTTGAGGCCGTCTTGATAGGTTCTGGAGTTGTCTTAGGGCATTTTGAGCCGCTTTGATGTCGTATTGGTCGTCTAGGAAGCCGTCTTGGAGGCCATGTTAGTCGTCTGGAGGCCGAAACGACCGCCAGAAAACAAGTTCAAACTGACATGTTTTCGAACCACGCGCGCGAGGAGGGGGGCTTAAACCTTGACACCACCTCCCAGACGACTAACGCGCATTCTAACACGCTCACTCCGTGCAGGCAGTCTATGTGGTGAAATCTACGTGGTGCAATCGTAGGACTGAGGGACATCAATGGTTAGGGCCTCTTGTGGCCATCTTGGGGGTGCTCTTGGAGCTCTTTGGGGGCGGTAGGTGGGCCTCGTGGGCAGTCCTGGAACGATCGTGGGGGAGGTGGGGGAGGGAGGCGCGAGAAGCCCCAAGAGCGCGCGGGACCCCGGGAGGTTTCAGGGGACCTCTTCATGCCTCTGAACGTCGTCGTCGGCGTCCGTCGCCGCCACCGTCGCCGCCATCACCGCGGAGTGCGGCCAGAGGACATGTGCAAGCGCCTTGGCGACTACCCGAACTGCCAGTGCCCGGGCTTCGCAGGCGAGCTCGTGGGCCCCCGTTGGGAGGGAAGCGTACGGTCAAGGACATGGAACCAATTCGTGGCCGAGGCTCGCCGAGGCCAGAAAACGTGTTTTCGGTTGGTATTCCGCATTCGTTACTGTAGCGCGATGCCTGCACAGTTGGCACGAGGGCTAAGGACAACATCGGGAATTGGCAGAACGCCCACCCAGACAAGACGGTTGAAGAATTCTGCACCACTTCATTCGACAGTGGCGTTCGCAGTGCGCCGCCGCAGCCCCCCGCCGGTTTCGACGTGTGTTTGCGATTCGTTACATTGGACGTCGATGAGGTGTTTTTTCCGGGTCCACTCGGAATGCGGATCCGTGCGCACGAGGAGCGTCCTTGGAAGCCTTCACTGAAGGTAATTTTGCCGAAGGGTGCTTTGTCAATCCTCGACACAAGGAACCCTGGTTTGAGGGGGAACCCTGACGTTCTTCGTATTCGGGCCATGGCATACACGGCTTCACCGACCTCCCACGTCGCTTTCTCCTCTCAATTCTTGGGCCGCAGACGTCTCGACCTCGACCCGTTCCCTGGGGAAGATGTGTTCTCTCTGGGCAACTTGCTACCGCGCCTGGGCCCCAGAAGGCTCCCTGGAGCCCGAATTTGAAGAGAAGAAAGGCGTCGGCGTCAAGGTCTTTGCCCCGCCTTCCCCATGATCGGCAGGCTCGCGCCGTGTTTGCGCTGCTGCGACGCCACGCGGGCGTTCAAAGTTGCCTGGCCCTGAATCGGCTGATCTGGAGCGGCCTGCGCTACTGGACTGCCGCGATCGTTCGAGCTTGAACGACCCACGTGGTGGAAGCGACCGGCGCCGTCGTCATCTCGACGCGAACGCGCCGCAGACGAGGCATCGTGGAATGTGCCCTCCCCTCGCCCACTCGAGGAGGAGGATGAGTAGGCGGGTGAGGGATCGGGGGCCCTGACATGCGCCGACACGATTGTGTCAATGCGTTGCCGCAGAGGTCCCGAGCCCTGTCCAGGGGCAAGGCTCCGGAGACGTTCTTGATGGCCCTGGGGCCCGTGCACGGGCTAGGGTTGCCCACGTCGAGGAAGAACCCAGATTGAACAATCATATCGTCGGAGATCTGGGGAATCGTCGTCGTCGCCGCCGTCATCGCCGTCGTCGTCGTCGCGACTCGAGGCGGCTCCGCCCTCCCGCTCACCCGCTCCCTGCTGTGGCGCGCCACCGCCTGGCGCGGGTGACCGCGCCCCGCGCAGGGCAGCCCGCGGAGGACGGGGACACCCGCGCCTGCATGGACAAGCACTGCCAGGACCTCCTCCCAGACCTCTGACGAGAGGACTGTTCCAATGCTGGCGGCTCTCCTCGATTTTGAGCATGTGGGGCCTTGTTTCGGGCCCCGGGGCCATCAAAATGGATCCGGGGCGCAACAGTGGCCTCGGGGTAGGGATCGAGACCTCTGAGGCCGCGCATTGAAACATCGCATCGGAAGTGGATGTCAGGTCCTCTCCCCTTCCCCCTCCTGCTCTGTCGGGAAGGGAGCGATACCTACACCCCTGCTCGTCCTGCAGAGCCTTCGTCGCCACGTCTGGGTTCTCCTCAATCCTGGTCAGAGCGCACCCCGTGAGAGGTCCAGGGAGTGGCGGACCTCGTGGGAAATATGCTCCACGCCGCCACTGCTTGAGAAAGTATTTCCTCGGCCTGAAGACGGGCCAGCGCACGCTGCTAAATGATTTGTTGCTGGGTTACCATCTGTTCGTGCTGGAGGAAGCCCATTCGGAGCGCTACGGTGCCCTTCGGCAGATGGTCCAGGACCCTCCCCAAAGCAGATCCTCAACACATTTGAGAGCTTTTGGGAACTGGCACTCGGAGATGACCAACTTATACTCGGGGAATTGGAGAGGCAATCGACCGGGAGGGCCCAGAGGAGATGTTGCAGAACATTGACGTCGCGTGCCATATTCTCTGGGCCAGTGAGTCAGCCATTGACTCGACTCAGCTTCGGCTAATCTCAAGACAGTTTCTCGGACGGCCTATGTAGTGACATACGGTTTCCGACCATGGCGACCTACGACGACATTGGGCGATGGCGGCAACATGCTGGCGGACCCGCGCTCGTCACTGGAGTATGAAGCAGCTAAGTATTAACCGGCTTCGGAAGTGCCGACGCTGGAGCCCGAGAGTTTCGAACCGATGCCGCGCCTGTCTGCGCTTGTAATTACCCCAGTGCGACCCTACCTAGAAGTTGGAGCCCCTAGGAAAGCAGCATTAGTTGCTATGCTAGGCCATGCCATGCTATGTTGCGCTATGCTGTGCTGTGCTGTGCTGCGCTGTGCTATGCTATGATACGCTGAGCTAAGCTAAGCTATGGCATGCTGCGCAGGGCTATGCTAAGCTATGACATGCTATGATATGCTAAGCTGCGCTATGCTATGCTATGCTATGCTATGCTATGCTGCGCTATGCTATGCTATGCTATGCTATGCTATGCTAATGCAGCGCTGCGCTATGCTAAGCTGAGCCAAGCTAAGCTAAGCTAAGCTAAGCTAAGCTAGCCCTCCTTAGGCAGAGCCTAGGTAGGGAATTACACCCATTGCCTGTGCAGCACCGCTGAACGCCTCACTCCGCCAACCTCGGGACATGAGCGTGGGCGGCTGTGTGGCAGGGCCTCCGGACTTGAGCCGACATGGTTACGGAAGGCACTGCTTGCGGGGGCTCAGGTCCGGCCATCGAGGCTAGCTCGGCATCTGTCGCACATTGCTTTTGCGTTGCCTTTCCTTTGCTTTGCTTTTGCCTTTGCTTTGCTTTGCTTTGCGTTGCTTGTGCTTTGCTTTGCTGTCGCTGCTGTTGCTTTGTCTTTGCTTTGCTGCTATGCTATGCTATGCTATGCTGCGCTGTGCTATGCTGCGCTGCGCTATGCTATGCTATACTATGCTATGCTATGCTATGCTGCGCTATGCTATGGTATGCTGGGCTATGCTATGATCTGCTGTGCTGGGCTATGCTATGCTACGCTATGTTATGCGCTGCTGTGCTATGCTATGCTAAAGCTCAGCGAAGCTAAGATGAAGGTAAACTAAACTGAGCTAAGCTAAACCTGAGCTAAGATGAAGCTAAGCTAAGCTAAGATGAAATAATATAAGCTAAGATGAGATAGGCAACGCTAAGCTAAGGGGACGTAGCTGGGGGAACCGCGGGGCGGATCCTGGGGGAACCGCCCGGGGCGACTTACACTGCCCGGCCCTTTTAAGATAGAGAGTAAGAAACCTTCTAGGCAGAGCCTATGTAGGGAACTACTGCGCTGCTGCCGCGACTATGCAGCCCGCGCAGCAGGATCATTGGATAATCCTCGCATGAAGCAGTATGTATTTCTCGTCGATCCATCGTGTAGTGTTCGGGATATCCTGCAAGCGTTGATAGATCGCTCGGGTGTTACCCCTCATGCAGCTCAGAGTGGTAGCGCCAGCCCTTCTAGGCAAGCCAGCAGGAGGACGTCTTCCGACAATCGCGCGGGGCTCGTGTTTCGAAAGTGTGGTGACAGAGTTCTCCAAGAGGTATTGTCCGGTGTAGTCTCTGGCAATGATCAGGGGACTTGCAGCCACGGGAGTGCCCCTCCCTGGCCCTCCCCTCGGACCTCTCAGGCTGCTGAGTCTTATGGGTTGTCCGCTGCGGGCCATGTTGTTTCAGCTGGAAGACGTTGTTTTGTCTGGTTTAGCGGTGTCCGTCAACGCCACCTTTCCGGGAAGGAGAGGCTCGGCTACAAGAGGGCCTTTTGCGATTGATGATGTGTTATTGGGAGAATGTCTGGAGCCAACGTGAAAAAGGCATCCGACATATGGCACCGATTAAGCCCGTCAAAGATTGTATCTCATTCCGGGCATTGATGCTGCGGATGCCATGACGAAGGAAGGAGCTGGAAGGCGCTTTGCCCCGACCGAAGACCAGCAGCAGCTAGACTACCGTCCAAGCTCGCGTACACTCTGACTGCGACTATTATCAGCCGTGCCAAAGCTGGACCTCTCGGAATTTCCGCTTGCCATGGCGCGAGAAATTGAACACAAGCTAGCCATTCGTGCAGGTGGACCAGCACACTGCCATCGTTGTTTCTGGGGCCACCAACTCGACTGACAAGCCTGCTGTTGGGCATTGCTTGGGGGGAGCAGGCGCAGGCATCAGAGGCACCGACGCTCCGAAGCTGTAAGAGAAAGGATATCGCAGGTGCAAATCTTCACGACAGGAGGCTAGCTTCGAGGTGCCAAGCTGCCTTGCAAGCTGGAGGCAGCGACGGCAGAACGCGCACCTAGACTCGAATGAGGTTGGGGAGACTCCCGAAGGAGACTGGACCAACGGTTCTGCAGAAGTGATGTCTGAGGCTGAGTCGCCAAGTCACCACCCCGCTTCCGAGTGAAATGATAAAGAGAGCATGTTTTACCGAGTGCCCCCTCTTTGCGCGTGCTGGGAGCCGCTGCAGCTCGAGCTGCCGGAAGCGGTGGAGCCAGCCGAGCCTTAGAGTGGCAAATTCGTTACTTCTCTTTCGGGTGCATCTGTTTGGTCATCAAGTCTCAAGCTGCATTTGGACATGTTTCCCCCTTGCGCCCTTGCCTACAACTCGGGGTGTATGTTGGTTAGCCTTGCTTCTGATGTTACAGTTTCTCCGCGTCGTCGTCGTCCTCCTCCTTCTCCTCTACCTAGCAGCTCAACCTGATGGCAGATCTACTGGTGACGATTGGCATCATCAAACATGGTGTTCTGGCGTTACGCTCCTCCAGATGGGTCGTCCGGAGGAAAACCTCTTAATGACTAAGTGGTCGGTGAACGTGCTGTTGATGTAGCGCCCTCACAGACTCTTACTGCGCGTGGCCGCATCCCTGCTGCTGTCAAACTTCCCCGTGAAGAAGGTCACGACGAGCGCCAGGGTGGCCGCGCTTATCGCCTGTCTGTACGTCAGTCTTTCTTCGTCGTTGGCAGTGCTCATACTCATGTCGTTCACGCCGTCCGCGCGTGCAGCAGGCTTCGGCGTTTTGGTACATCCTCCAAGCTGTGCCCCGAAAGCTGGCGGCTAGTCGGCTAGCTCGCGAGGTTGCTGCCACCGCCGCCGTCGTAGTCGTCCGTCGTTGCTGCGCTCTGTCGTCTGTCGTCCCCGTCTTCGCCGTCGCCGTTCGTTGTCGCCATCGTGTCGGTGGCTGGCGCTTTCCGTTGTGCCTTGGCCTCGTGCTCTTTGCGGCGCACGCGCGAGACCAACCTAGATTCCCAGGGTAGCAGTTGGCGCGCCTGGCGGAAGAGCCGGCGCCCGCCTTTGCCACCGCCATTGCGGCCGCAAAGGCCTTCGGTGGAGCTGAGGGGGGAGCGATGGCAGGGTGCGGCGTCTCTTGGGGAGCTGTGGCCCCGCGTGCTCGGGCACGAGGGCATCGCCGAGTCGAGTTTCTGGCAGCCTTGGCGGCAGAGCGTGCGGGAGGCGGGTGCGGCGGGTGCATCAGGAGGCTGCGGCCCGCGCGTTCGGGCGCGGCCCTCGACGGTGGCCAGGCAGTGGAGGCAAGACATCCTTGCCCCGTTCTTGTCTGCCCGCTGATCCTTGGTGGGCTGCTGGCGGCCAGAGGCCGTAAAGACCTGGTCCTCGGGGCGTGCTGCGCGCCATTCCACATCCATTCCTCCTCCTCATCCTGTCCCTCCCTCTTCCCTATCATCCTCCTCCCTCTCCTTCTCCCTCCCCGTCCCTCCTCATTGTCCACCTTGCTTGTCGTCCTCTCTCATCGGGCGTCCGCCGGCAGGATCCCAATCAGCCCTGCCCGAGCGACCCCTTCGTGACCTGCGTGAAGGAGACGACGAAGGCCTGCCCGCGGAGGAGCGCACCACTGCGACGAGAGTCCGCTCTCACCAGGGCCTAGTTCGATCCGATTCGATATCGATTCCGACAGGCCCAGTCCGATTCGATTCCAGTGTTGTCCAGCGCTCCAATGCGGCCCGACATGGACCCCCTTGTATCTTGGCGCGGAAGGTCCGATTCGCTTCCCGCCTCGTATGGTAGCGACCCTATCCGACGCGCGTTCCGATCCGATTTGGATTCGCGAGTCGACGTTTCACCGAGCGCGTTCCACTGCTCGCAAAGTGCCTACTCGCAAACGGCCGCAGGCAGGGCGCAGGTGTTTGCGCGATGGCGCATGGCGTGGGGCGACGCTGACGGCAGCATCGGCTCCGAAGAGCTCGCGTGGGACCTCGCCCTCAAGCTGGAGGCCGCGGAGGCAGCCGGAGAGGCCATTTGTGGCGCAGCCCTTGACTGGCGCAAGGCCTTCGACCACGTCAGCCTGCAGCTCCTGGAGCAGGTGCTGTCGCGAGCTGGCATTCCCGAGTGGATACGCGGCCCTCCCCTCGCAACCTCCACGGCGCCCCGCAGGGTGCGCGTCGATGGCGCCCTCGGCAGCCCGTGGGTGCCAACCAGCGGGATTCGCCCTGGCTGCGCGCTGGCCGTCTTCGTGCTCAGTGTCTTGGTGCGGCCGTGGTACCGACGCACGGGGCGAGTGGACGACGGTCTAAAACGCCGCGTGTATGTCGACGACCTCACGCTGTGGGCGCGCGGGGACCCAGACGCCACTGCCGAGGCGGTAGGCGAGGCCCTGCGGATCACCCGGGCGTACGAGGCAGACATGGATTGGTGGCTGCACGAGGTCAAGAGCTGGCGGTTCGCCAACCTGGCCTCTGTCCGGCGGTGGCTCCATAACGCGCTACCGTCGATTTCCGCTGGGACTGAAATCCGCGATCTCGGGGTCGTCTCGGTCGCCGGCAAGCGGCGCAAGCACCCCGTGGCCGCGGCGCGGGTGCAGCTGGCCTGCGGACGTTTTGCACGCATCCGCCGCCTGCCCGTGCCTGTCCGCTGGCGGTGCCTGATGGGAGCGTCCACCGGCACGGCCGCGGGCACCGTATACGGCTCTTCCTGTGGCCGCCCGGCCGCGAGCGAGCTGGAGCGGCTGCGCCGCGCTGCCAAGGCTGCCACCGGCCATGGGCCCCGGGCTGCCGCCGAGATCGTTTTTGGCGCGCTCAGCCCCACGTGGCGCTTGGACCCCAAGGCAGCGGTGATCGTCGCGCCGGTGCTGCAGGCTGCGCGGGCGCTCCGGGCCGGCCAGCTTGACCTCGCCGCGTGGCGCAACACAGCAGCCGCTGTCACGCTGGAGCTGGGCGCGGCGTCGGGCCGGTGGCCGCTGCCTTGCGCAGCCTTCGCGAGCTGGCCGGGCCTGGGCAGCGACATGGAGCACTGGATTTGCGTCCCAGCGGCGCCGCACGTCTGGCCTCCGTCGGAGCAGTCGCAGCGGGCTGCCGAGCGCGTCGTCCTGGTGGCGTGGCGCCGGGCCGAGTGTCGGAAGCTGGCCGTGCTTCGCCCACTTGGCCAACGGGGTGGACAGGTGGGCCACCGCCCGCCTGCTCGCCGCCTTTGCGCGCACTGGTGTGCCCCCTGGCGGCTCCCCAGCAGCCCTGGCAGCCGCCGCGCCAGCGGCCCCCCGCTCGGCCTCGGCCGCGCCGATGAGGGGCGCGCCGCCCGCGCGGGAGTTGGCCCAGTCCCGGCCCAACTCGGCCAACCCGCGCTCGAGCGGGGGCGCCCCGCCCCATGGCGGCCCCCAAGCAGCCCCGGCAGCCGCCGCGCCAGCGGCCCCCCGCTCGGCGGCCTCGGCCGCGCCGGGGGCGCGCCGCCCGCGCGGGAAGTGGCCGAGTCCCGGCCCAACTCGGCCAACCCGCGCTCGAGCGGGGACGCCCCGCGCCAGCTGGCCGCCCCAGCACGCCCGGCGGCCTTGGGGGCGCTCCCTGCGGCCCCAGCGCTGGCGCCTGATGCTGCTTCGGCTCTGCGCAGCGCCATGTGCGGCAGCATCGCGACCGAGGCCGTTGCGGCGACATGGAAGGGCGACGCCGGCACATGCCCGCGCTGCGGGCTAGCTCCCGAAGACCACGAACATCGCGTCTGGCTGTGCCCGGCGTGGGAGGACCCGCGGCGCGCCGCGCTTGCCGCGGCGCCACGGTCGGAGACCCTGCCGAGTGACGCTGGTGCTTTGAGGCAGCTGCTGCCCGCTGGAGTCGCGCTGGCGGGGGTTCTAGCGCTGTCGCCGCTCCTCGCTGCCCTCGCGGAGGCCGCCGGGGGCGAGGGCCCGCAGCTCCCGCCCCAGGCCGAGCTGGCCCCCGAGGCGCCCCGCCGCACGGTGTGGAGCGATGGGGCATGCCTTCGCCCCGCTGACCCGCTGCTCGCGCGAGCGGCATGGGGCCTGCGGGTCCAGGGCTCGGCGGGCCCCAATCTCGCTCGCCCAGTCGACGAGCTGCTGACGGCGCAGCGGGCCGAGGTCACGGCCGCGGTGGCTGCGGCTCGCGTCGTCGGCGGCCTATATCGACCTTGCCTCGGACAGCCAGTCCGTTGCACGGGCGTGCGCGCAGATCGTGGCTGGCGCCGAGGCGCGACTGGGAGCACGCCGACCTGTGGGAGCAGCTGGCGGGCGCCGTGCGCAGCGGGCGGCTCCAGGCCCGCTGGGTGCCAGCGCACAAGACGCCGGCAGAGGCGCGGCGCTTGGGTCTGAGCGAGCGGGGCCGCATCGGCAACGCGGCGGCCGACGGCAATGCTGGCGCCGCAGCTGCAGCCCGGGCCCCGCCTCCGGAGCTGGCGCACTCGCGCCGCCAAGAGCTCGAGCTGCTGGAGGCGGCGCAGCGCGTCATTGCAGCCGCGCAGCAGGCCGCCTTGGCGGCAGCGCCGCCGGCCGCGCGCCGCCGGCGGCGCGACTGGCGTGGAATCCGCCGCGGAGCTCCGGCGCGCGCCGCGTTTGCCCCGGCGGCCGGCGCCCCCGCCGCCGCCCAGCTGTCTCGGGCGCCTTGCCCGCGCCAGAGTGGTGCTGACGCGCCCGTCAGCAGGGGGAGATGTTGGCCGCGTTCTTCGCTGGTCGCTCATGGTGGCCCCATGCCCTGGCGCGCGGACCCGGGCGCGTCTTCTGCCTCCGCTGCGGCGGCAGCGCGGCGTCTGCGGCAGAGATGCTGGGGGGCGCGTGCCCTGGATGGCAGGAGCGTTTGCCGGCGCGGTGCCACGCGGCCCTGCTCCGGGGCGACTTGGCCTGCGCTGGGGGCTGCCCAGCGGCGTCGGCGCGCTCGGCGGCGCAGCGAATCGCGCAGCTCCCCAATGTGCCGGACTAGGCGCCGCGGTTCCGGGCGTCCGCGGCTGCGCGCTGCGCCCGTTCTCGCAAGCCAAAACAAGCCTACTCGCAAACAGCCGAAAACGCATGTGCCTGCATCGAGGTAATATATCGTAGATCCCGCGTGGCGGATCCTGGTCATTTGCGAGTCTTGTCTTGTGTTGGGTGATGCCGTCCCCCCCCCCCCCTCTCCTTGTTCCCTTCGTATGGTGGCCCTCCGTAGCCATTTTCCATTTTTGGCTCAAGGCTATGCATTCCCCCGCGGAATCGACGGATACCGCTGGTCCGAAGCCAGCGCCAGGGCGCTTGCGCTCGACAGTCAATCCTCTGAGCGAGCGCCCCAGGGGCTCACTGGCGCCCCATCCCTCTGCGCGGCTCTCCTCGGTTGAGGGCCCGCCGCGATGCCCCGAGCTTCTCGACGCCAGCAAAGCGGATGGCGTGGGCCAGGCCGTGGTTTTGTCGCTAGTGCACCAAGGCTGGGGAGCGTTGGTGGAACCCTGCGGGGGCCAAGGTGTGCGGTGGCGACTGCAAGTGCGACGCGAGTGTCGCCTTTTTCTCCATCGAGCCGCCCAAGATTCCGTCGTGGTTTTTGGCGGCAAGTGGCGGCAGAGCGAAAGGCAAGGGTGAGGACAGCAAGACAATGTGCGGGAGGGCCCCGGAGAATCTGCTTGGCGACCTGCGCAAACAGCTGGGGTCAAAGAGCGACGACGACATGCAGGTCGACGAGAGCTGCGGGAGGGCGACCACCGCTGCCGCCGTCGACATTGGCAAATGGAAAGCTGAGTTGGCGGAGGCTGAGGCGATGCCCAAGGCGCTGCCGCGTGAATCTACCTCGGAGTTTGCCCTATAGCAGATGGCATCTCGAGCGGCACCGCGACGGCTGCAAGGCCAAGCTTCGTGAAGCGCAGCCCTTCGAGTGGAGCGCCCACGACGTGGTCAACCAGAAGAAGCAGGCCTAGCGAGCACGCTGCGAGGTGCTCGAGCAGATCGTGGAAAACGAAGCTTATTAGTTTAAGAAGTCGCTGGGCGCCCAGCCGAAGCTACCGCCCGAAAAGGCGCTATCCTCAACCATTGAGCATGTCTGAGTTTCGGCCGGATGCCTGGGCCAGCTCCCCAGGGCAACAGGATAGGGAGAGCAGGGGGCTGCAGCGTTGCTTGTTCACCTCCAGACTGCCATGCCCGCCATCATGGATGTGAGAAAAACATCCGACATATGCGCAGCAGCCAGAGCCCGTGCAAGTTCCTGATGATGTTGTCGGCCCTGCGCCTGCCTCTGTTCCTTCTTCCCTTGTGCAGTGCGCGTGCGAGCTGCGGGATGGTACGGGAGATGCCTCCACGTTACGGAAATGTTTGATGTCATTGCGGCATATTGGGCCCGGGGGCGAGGGCGACCTGCGGAGCGCGGTCAAAAGGCTCAGCGAAGGCATCCAGAGCTTGCTGAGGCGGGCCCGCACGGCTTGAGTATGTTGTGGTGGCCATTCTATCTTTGCATAGCAATGGCGGAGGCTACAGCTCTGACTCTCAACTGCACCTCGGCTCAGCAGCTTCGGGGCTTCCTCCCGCACAGCAGGGCGATGGTGCCACGCGTGCAGGAACGTCGGCTGCTGGCAGGTAAGTTGGCAGATTCTCAGAACAGTGCGCAGAATTTGGGTTCGCATGGCGTCTGGGCCGAGGCC